TCACATATGGGACGCGCACCTAGTATTAGTGCTGCTACTACTACTACTACTACTACTACTATTACCAATACTACTACTACTACTACTACTAGTACTAGTACTAGTACTAGTACTAGTACTAGTACTACTACTACTACTACCATTACTAATACTAGTATTAACACTAATACAATATATTAACACTAACATTAATATTAATATTAATACTCATACTAAAACTCAGACTAATACTAGTACTAATTCTAATACTAATATTCATACTAATACTGATACTGATACGGATACGGATACTGATACTGATACTGATACTGATACTACTACTACCACTACTACTACTACTACTACTACTACGACTACTACTACTACTACCACTACTACTTCTACTACGACTACTACTACTACTACTACTCGTACTAGTACTACTAGTACCACGAATACTACTAACTAATGCTATTGCGAATAATACTGATAGCAACATTGGTTACATAATAATATGAACTTTACGGCCCGTATTCTTTGAGCTAACCCCGCAATCATGTCAATCGAAAGTTAGATAATTTTCGTCAACGAAACATTAGAGGTTGCACTAAAGAATCTGCGCGAAATGGAAAAGACGAGAGTAATGGACGATCTTCTGCTTGCAGGGTGTTTTTGGTAGGGAGTGCTGCATGATAAGCACGTGTGCCAGTATGGCTAAGATTGGTGTACTTGGTGAGTGCTAGTGTCGAAGGCGGACTGTGTTGCAACCGCTTCGAGCCGGTGTCCTACTAATTTGCAAGTATGCGTTTATGCATTAGTTCAAGAATGCTCAAGATTCAGGACTAGCAGGTGGCTGTAGCTTTAAAGCCTTGGGCAGCGTATGGAAGTGTGATCCCTCGAAAGCCCAGGAACGTGCCATGGAGCGGCTTTCAGATGAGAACGGCCGAAGCTAAGAACGGAGCAGGCGCCATTACTGAGCATCAAATGGAAAGGCAGTGTTGAATCGCAGTGATAGATCTCCGACTTGCTGATCGTCAGGTTGCTTGGAACACTACAGCATTGAGCCTGTTGAAGTTGACGGCTTGCGCTTCGCAATTTTCTGCACCGCGTGGCCTTGGAAGATCTATGCTCTATGATCCGTGAAACTTTGCAAAGCCGAATTATGCTCGCACCCCACTTCCCTTAAGAACCACGCAAAAAAGGCTGTGTCTGCACTCCGTGTTAGGCATGAGAGCACGTTCGGGATGTTTTGCAAACGCAGTCAGATGGGAGCTTCGGCTGAGCTGTGGGACCAGCGTTGCAGATACAACGCTGTACAGAGGATGCCATCTGGTAGTCCAGCAGTAAGGCGAGGGCAGGCAGACACTAGTAATTATCTTGGCGAGGTCATATCTTCTTCCAGTCATGCGCTGCGCAGGATCGTGACAATTGCACGTCCTGAAGTCTTTTGCGCTCTCAGAAGCAGCAACTCGACAGTCGAATTGTTCCAAAGCTTCAGATGGTGCGCCCGTACTGGCCATACCCGCTCAAGTCAGCGGATGGTGTGCCAGTTCGGTGTTTCGGAGTCGAGTGAGCAAGTCCCCTGGCAAATTTCTGGTGTAGACTCTTGCTATCTTTGCTGTGACTGCGCAGCCATGAATCTTACACACTCGACTCACTCTCGAAAGCTGGGCGCGGCTAGCCTCAGTGCTCGTAAAGCAAGACAGAGGCAACAAACAAGTGAAAACTGAGAAGAGCAGTGCGGCACCAGGATCCGCCCAGAGTGGATACTTAATTCGCTGGCTCGATGGCCCCTGCGAACCTAGTAGATAAGCTTTGAAGCCACAACCTGGCAGTCACGATGATGCTGTCACCGACTTTATGAACTTTGCTGAGGTGTGTTGCAAGTCTCCATTTGTGCAGCCACATGCGATGCAGTGTGGTCAAAGAGCTGGCATTCGCAAATAGACAGGAAGCTGAGCACCAGCTCCTGTGTCACCGCGTTTTGCCACTCTTGCATGCCACAGGGTAAGTAGCTGAAAAGTGCCTGCTGGCCTTCGCCGGCGCATTGTTGGATTTGGGATCCACATTTTGCCAGGTTGCTCGAAACACGTGGAACTTAGAGATCATGGTAGCCTCCGAGACTCTAAGTCCATAGTGTAAAGGGCTTCTGCAGGCATTTTATTAACGGTGTGGTCAAGTGCCCCGCCAGTCAGAATGCCCGATGCGCATTGCAGTCTTACTTACTACATGTCCAGGCACTAAGCTACTTGCACCTGTGCAGCCCGTCTGGGGCTGACTATGGTTTGCGACAAGAAAAACTCGGGCAGTTGCGGGAAGTCGAGGGCAGAAGTCCAAGTCTTTTGCCAGAACTGCCAGGCCCACCTCCGGCGCATTACCGAGGGCGCCCCTCGAAATGCTGGAGTGGTTGTACTAAACGAGGTCACGCGTGCTGCATAGTATTGCACAGCGCATTGCGCAGTTCTAGCCGGGGGGAGGGCAGAAGCAAGCATATGAAAGGCAGTTGCACTCGCAGATCACGCAATCATTGGTAAGATGATGGTCATGCATCCGGCAGATTGACAAGACCTTACCCGCCATTGCATGGCCTTGCTGCATGGCAGCACTTCAAACTCAGTTACGGGCAGGCTGACGTGCCCATTGGCTTTGGAGTCACTGCGAGGCCAGGCTGGAGCGTGAGCTTTCCAATTGTCGCCGAGTCATTGAGCTTTTGTGAGAGGTCCACGGAAGAGTGCACAAACCTGGGGGCGGAGGCAGCGCGGCATAGGCCTCCTAGGTGCCCCTTTAAGAAATTCAAGAGTGCGGACTCTGCGCTAGCGTGACGCGTAGGGTAGATGACCCTCCCAGAGGACAATGCAAGCAGTACTGTAGACCCTTTCCTGAGAAAAGTAACGCTTTTGACGCTGACCATTTGAACATCTTTTGATCCGAGCTCGCCTGCCAGGCCCTTGTGGTCTACCACCAAGCGGATGCCAGGCACTCATGAGAACGACGTCAGTCGGACTGGCAGCCCCAGAAGCAAACCAAAAGCCTCAAGCCAAGGCCCCCTTCTCCCAACAGATGTGATGAGGATCATTGAAGTTCGTTGCAGCGGAAGTCGCTCAACACGTATTCTTTACGTGCTGGTAACTTTTGCTGCCAGACGAATATGACCCTCCTCTCCGGCTCCCGCCCACAAGCTTTTGGACTTGTGTCAATATCATGGCAAAAACTTTTCTTTCAGAGGAGCCCTATGCGAAGCGTGTGTTCAGCAGTATCAGCATGTCTAGTAAAACTCTCGTGATCGGCCTTGGATGCCCCAGGTAGATAGAGTCGTTCAATCTGCCGAGGTCGGGGAATACCTGCGGGAGGAGGACGGCTTGTCTCTGCATGATCTTTTCGCCAATGAAGAAGCAAAAGCAATCAAAGCTGGCTGTGCAGGCGGATCTGGTCTGATTCCTCGCGGTGAATATTCAGTTTCACCGGCTAGCGCGGCAAAAATCAGACGAGAAGCTGCTCTGACTTGAGTAACAACTTCTGCGTAAGTACAAGGGATGTGGATTGAACAACATCACGCAAGGTCGAAAGCAGAGATCAAGTAAGGATCAAGAGGAATCACAACTCGTGCAGAAAGAAGAGAGAGAGAAGACAAGAGGGATGCAGAAAGGAAGATAGGAAGGATTGCCTCAGACTGTCAGATCTGGGTTTTTTGATAGTTGTTTGGTTGTCCCGTTTCTCAGCTACAATGATGCAGTACAGTAAATTATCTACTTCGCACATCCCCACCCTTACTTTGTGGTCTGCTCGCAGCTAGCATCATCAAGTCCTTCCAGCAAGGATGTGGAGCATGTATCAGCAATGTAATACTCTGCTGTTGGGCACAGCATTATATTCTGCGGTTGGGCGCTGCAGGGAGATTCTGCGGTTGGGCATGCCAGGGATATTCCGCAGTTGGATAATCACTCTGCGGTTGGGCACAGCGCGGAGGGCAAGGAGAAAACAGACTTCCTAAAACATGACAACCCCACCGTGAGGGTGGCTAACAACCGCACCCACAGTGAACCTGCAGCTGGCGTGCTCCGCTGTGCTCAAGGTAGAGAGGATATGAGGATGTCAGGCGCATCTAAAAGGACGTCTGAAGAGCTAACAGATGTTGTGACATGTCATTCATGTTGCCAAAGCACTGCGCCCTGATTTCGTGCACATAGAATCATCTGAGTGCAGGGCTGTCTTGCAACCACAACCCAGTGGCTCAAAGCCTGCCACATCCCGCACTTCCCTTCACTAAATCCATTTGCTAAGTCTGCTAAGTGAGACACGCAGAAGGACGGTCAATGCATAGAGTCCTCCGAGCCTCTGTGCTGGCATCTCTTTTCAAATGCGTCAGAGTCCAAGTCGCGGAAATCTCATGGTATCATGTATCACAGCCCAAATCCAAATGCCGACACCTTCGCAGGTGCGTGACAGCCATGAGTCACGAGATTGTTCCCTATGGGAAGGGCAAGGCGCGAGCAGAGCAGTGAGAGTCATTGAGGCATGATTTTCTCCTGGAGACCAGGGCAAGAGCATCGATGATGCGCAGCTGCGAAAGTTCACAAAGCGCACCGTTGACTATGGGTCTGACGTGGTGCGATGGCTGGAGGCTTCGGTACTTTTTTGATCTTGCCAACCGTTTAGAATTCCCACCGTTTAGAATTCCCAGGAAGCCCGCTAGAGAACCCGCAAAGACTTGTGACTCGCTGAAGCAGCAGAAGCCGGAATGGATGCTCCATGTATGTCCATGTATGAGATCTCTTCAGGGTGGCTTCCTCAGCATCTCACAACAACTGCGTTTAGCCGGATAACATCTGAATGCTCTAAAGTGGTGCTGGAAAGGCACACGCTTGCGCTTGTTGAATGTTTGTCAAACGCAGGGTTGATGCATAGGTTCTGAACTGAACGTGCAGTGGCAGGACTGCATGGGCCGTCGGACTAGACCGCGCCTGCAAAGCACCGATGCCTAGAAATTGAGTGGACAGCAGATGCAGACCAGTTTGCAAAGAGGATACCCCTAATTCGAAAGTATCTCGCGCCCCTTGAGGACACTACACCTACACCAAAGAGCTCGTACCTCCCTTCGCCATGTGCAAACCATCGCGTTTGTGGGGAAGATTGGGAGCGTGCGAAATTAGTACTGAGAGCCGAGGGCGCGTGGCCAGGCCGCAGAACCCCTACGACGGCATCTGCCCACGCTTCGTCTATGCGGCCGTGAACAAAAATAGGTCCTCCTCCTTACCAAATATGGCTGACTGATGCTGCAGGAGTTTAGGTGGTACTTTCAAGCTGTCAGACGACTGCCTTTAGGTCGCCGGTCTATGTGGCTACATGGTTTCCAAACGGTTTGGGCCATAGCTGGCACAGAGTGCAGCCTTCGCTATTCATTCAAGCTGGGTCATGCCTCTTCCCTCCTCGCACCCCCCTGTTTTCCTGAGACAAGTGACTGCAAGGCGCTGTTGCAGATGACAACTCCATGCAACTCCGCCTGTCACAAGCTTGTGTTGATGAGGCCGCCGTATTCTCACCGGTACGCTCGCCGGCGAGATGACCATTTGGAACGGTTCCTTGGTTGCAGGATGTTGGATCGAAGGCTGCTTCAGAAGAAGAAGTTGAGAAGCCGAAAAACTCAGAGGGGCTCTCACTCGCCACTCGCTGCACGGAGTAACAGAGCACTTGGCTTGCAGTTTCAGTTTTGCGCAAGCCAGGCCTCAAGTGATTTTCAAAGGCTGTGCTGAGGCTATGCTGAAGCTATGCCGGTGTAGGGAAGCATCAAAGGGACATCTAGATGCCATCCCAAATACTCCTTGTTTGCTATCCTACCACCACGTTTGGGCGACGAGGTCTGGCATTCCATTCCGAGAATGTCATGCAAGCCCACAATGTCGGTGCCCTTGCATAAAAATGACACCTGACTCGCACAGGATTTTTTGCCACTCCTGCAGCATTGTAATGCAAGGATGCACTCAGCTGATTACAGCCCCGAGGCCGGAATAAAAGCGATGTGTTGGACCCCAGATGAGGTGCCTTCATTGACCGAGAGCCTGGCAAGCTCGCACATCTGCTGCGGATAAGTTGGGGTTTCTGCTGCAGGCTGTCATGGTGAGCGGGGACCAATTAGGCATGATCAAGCTGTGGGCCATGACCCCAGAATAAGCGCCACGAAATCTCCAAAGCTCACGCATCTTCCCAGTGCTACACAAGTTGACAGTTGTCCATGCACGCCTGTGCCTGATTTTGATGGGCATCCCCAACCAATGCGCCAAGGATCCTTTCATTTACAATTTCCAGACCTTCCAGGGCCACAAGGACTCAGTTTGTGACATTGCAGCGGATGCCTGAGGATTAAGACGCCTACAAGGCCATCTGTATGGCTTTGCAACAGGGGTTCTGCATTCCGTTCTAGGGCTAGTGAGTCGCATGGATGGACTTGCGTGCCTATGTGCGCATGTTGTAGACGCACATGTGCGGGGTCTAGACAGTACATACGGCAATAACACATAAAAAAACTTGACGTCGTTGCATTCCCCATGAGCGTGCGTTCAATCAAGGGCCTGTTTTTGGAACACTCTTTTGAGGTGGCTCCCACGGGTGAGAAGTTCTGCTCATGTGCGGACGACTCGCACGCGAAGGTGTTGTCTTTTAAGCATACACTGCTGTACCAAACTTGAACCAGTTCGCAAAGCTCCTAGCTCGCAACGGAAGGTATGGGACTTGAAAACGGGCGATGAGGCAAGGCAATCCGCTGTGCAGACTGTGACTCGCATCAGAGCATCGATGCTTGCGCCTGGTTAGCTGAATAGCAAAGAAAGGAGCGCTCCAGCAATCATTAGCATCGACACCATGTTTGCAAAGGAGCGTGCTTTCACGGGTCACGGTTGGGACGTCAAGTCTGGCACCTGGTCTCTCTAGTCTTGCAGGGCTCGGCTGTGCGCGGGCTTCGCTGACTCGCAGCCGTGCGTTTCGGCAGTGTGGTGATGTTGTAATAGCACCAGGTGCTGCGCATGGCATCCGACAAAGGGCCTGGTCGCAACCGGCTCAAAGGCCTGGTCCAGAGTCCGGTGATATCCAGTGAGTGCAGACGCCTGCACGCAATAATTTCAGAAATCATTTTGAAGTGCTTCTGGCGATTCAGGACTCTCAGATTAAGCTCTGGGATCCCCGGGCATCTGAAGCGATTACCACAATCTTCTGCCACAAGAATACGGTCACACGTGTGGCTTGGCCCTTGGCTTTAGCTCTTCTTGCTTCATGCTGAAGGCTTCAAGCAAAGTAGCGTGCTTTTGCTTGGCATTCCTGTCTCCCCTCCCTCCACCTCACCATTGGGATAGCATTGGGTACCGCCGCTCAATTTTTGGAAGCTCTTCGTGCAGCAAATTGAGGGGGGTTGGTTGTGTGTGAGTGTGTCTGATATGCAGACACTCTGGTAGCTCCTCAGCGCCGGAACCTTAAATAAGACCGGCAGGGAAACCAATGCTACAAATCTTACTCGGTACCACAGCTGTACCTGATCCGAAAACTGGATGTCAGATGGTGTCAGCATCCACATCATCCACAGAAACTGTCGAATATGTGCTGCCTTGTTGAATCATTGCGCTGAAGGCCTGGAGCCCACATGGCCAGTGGCTAGCAAGTGCCTCTCGAGACCAGCTGGTCATGCTGATGGCCCGCAGCTTGAAGGGCTGAAGGGCGGCTGCTTGGCGCGTTCCTTTCCTATGCCTGATACTGCAGGATGTGCGGACGATGAGCGTGCGAAAGGTTTTCAAGGCCCATCAGAAAGAGGCTCGGATATGCTCGGATGTTGGGCGGGCCTGCGGAAAATGTCCGATTTTGTCCGATGATCTGTAAATCAAAAGCAAATAGAGGCTGAAAAGAATGCTCCTGCAGCCCGCAGCCTTCCAGCTTCAGCCTTTGACATCTTGCCTGATCCAAGCTCTCGCGTGAAGGTTACTTCGTTGTGCTGGCATCCAGAGTCTGATTCCTTGCTGGCGTCTGGTTCTAAGCTGCGCAGCGTTTCTGCTTGCCACCAGCAAGTGCGAGCTGGTGAAGTGTTTGCTTTCAGCAGTGACTAAGGTCCGGTGGCTACGATGGTGCCATCCATTTCTGGGGCATCCGGAGCTCCTCGCCATTGGAGAGTTTGCCGCTAGCACATGAAGGTGGCCTGCATAATCTTTGGTTGTAGAGCGGGAGAGTTGACCGCTGGTGCAAGCTGGCAGATCTGGCAGGTCCAGTTTGGTCCTTGGCGTGGCTGATACCTCGGTTACAGAGAAAGGATACGTCTCGGATACGCGTGTGTCTTTTTTCTTGTCATCCAAGCGAGCTGGCAGTGATGAAGCTGAGGCACCCCATGGGCCATCTGCTGGTGAGTGCATCGAACGTGGATGCTGCCTGTTGATACTTGGGGCATGAGCTGGAAGTATGTAATCAAGCTGGCAGGTGAAACTTGCAGGTAGTAGCAGTCAGCAGGCATTGCACATGATGGATGAAAAATCCGCTGGCCGACATCTAGGGAAGATTCCGTAGCACAGAAGACACGTGGCAATCGCTCCTCAAGCTTCACACTTTGCGCCTTCAAAGCAGAGATGATGTGAGTGTTGTGAGATGCAGCAGCTTACAGCAGGGCCAGCAGAGCCCAGAGTGCCATGGCCGCAGCTGTTGAAGAAGGGCTTTTCCATCGTGAAGGCGGTCGTGATGTTGCCTTCGGCACGCTTGGGCAGGTGCCGAGCTTGGACTTGGAAGACTTGGAAGAGATTACGGTATGAGATAACGAAAGAGGCTGCGCATGCTGCGCTTAGAGTCTCAGGAGGATTGGCATGGGGTAGCTCCCGCCGTGCGTTGGTGTTAGTTCTGGAGCTTTCCCAACAACTCATTACTCAACAGACTGTCAACAACATTTTGCATCTCCAAGGGTTCACGAGGTGCTGGGGGGCGCAGGTGTGTACATTTGATCCGGTGCAGGCTTTATGGACAGACTTTTTTGGGCTATGAAATTTTAGGCAGCAGCTTCCAAATTCAAGACTGCGAACGCAGATTTGATAACTCATCATTTGTAGCTCCAGATCCACGTAACAGTTCAAGGCCTGATGTCCCTGAGTCCTGCTGTGGGCAACCATAGTGGCCAGGTCTTGCAGGATTGTGTTGGGAGCTGGGAAAAGACAGGAAATAGACGATAGAGAAGGAAAGAAGTGGAGGGATGGATGAAAGAGGAGGAAGAGGGAGCAGGCCGTGGCAGTGCAGGAAATCAGGTACCATGAAAGCAATTCCTGAGTACGGTCTACTCTAAGGTTTTAGAGCTGGGCGGTGCTGGCTCTAGTGCACCCTCAAGCGATCCGCAGTTGGTTGTTTTTCTATCGCAAAAAGAAACTCATGTAGATACGTAGCAATTTGTGTGTTTTATCGCGATACAAAAAAGATCAAAAAAGGCAGATGCATCATGAGAAGTGTTTTTTGTCACGATGAAAAGCACTGATCATTACGCTTCTGATGGCCATTCAAAGAAATCTAGAATAAGTACTGGCTCTAGTGCACCCTGAAGCGGTCCGTAGCAGGTTGTTTTGCTATCGCAATAAGAAACACATGTAGACACGTAGCCATGTAGCCATCTTTGTTTGTTATAGCGATAGAAAGAAGGTAGATGCAGAATGATGAGGTTTTTCATTGCGATAAAGAAGTGCTTTTGACTACGCATCTGATGTCCATTGGAAATTCTTGAACGAGTGCTGGCTTTACTGCACCCTCAAGCGATGTCTCACAGGTTCCAAGCAGCTGTGAGTGTGTGTCTCCATCTTTGCGTGAAAGCCCGTGCAGTCAGACGTCTCACAGCCTGTACAGTGTGGGCGTGCATTGGACTTCGGCAGCGCTGCAAAGCATGACCTTCTTGTCCGCTCTGTTAGCTTTGTTAGCTTGAGTGAACTCCATTTCTCCAGGTTTTGCTCTGTCCTTGCTGGATGCGCTATTTTGATGCCTGCGCTCCAGTCACATGAGTCACATGCCAGGATTACTCCACCCGCTTTTGGTCGCGTGCACGGCCTGGTGACACTTCCTTCAGCGATTTGCTGCCCAAGCGTGTTGGCGTGGAACCGGCGAGTGTGCAACGATCGCATTGCTCTGTGTTTCTTGTTCCACATGAAGCCGGTGACCAGGAGTAAACTCGAACCAGTTGCAGCGGGTGGTCTTGTTGCGAGCGTTTGTCAGGGGTTTCAGGTGCGGGTCTGCTCCGCATCGCTCCCCTGTGCCAGTTGGGTGCCAGCGACGCTGCAGCCGTAGGCCCCACTCCACCTGCGGGCAAGGCAGAGGACGTCTTACAGGCCTGGCAATCACGTGCTTTCCACTCAAAACCAGCGACTTGACAGCGCCAGTCCTTGATCCTGTCACAGTTGTACCAAGGCATGCCCGAGGTGTTGGATGGAAGCAGGCATATCGTTCTAAGGAGCATGAGCATGTGCGAACCAGTAACAATCTAGCTCAAAAGCCCACGGTGCGAAAATCCATCTTACACTGATCCAACACCCTGATTCTTCGAACATAAATCCACAGCTGCCTCAAGCAGTGAAATGGCTTGGCGCAGCCACTACGTAGCAACGCGTGATGCAGTTGCGAGATGCATGCAACAAAAACAACCGCAAGGCAGGCATCTTCGCGCAGCTGCCAGCGCCTCCGCCCACCCCTGAGGCCCACTGTGGTGCAAGCCATTAAGCCATCCTGTTGCTTGTGGGATTTGCTTCTCGCACTTCTGTCATTTGTCTAGGGCGTTCCAAAGCTATTCCGGGCATGTCACAGCAAGTCTTTGTTTTGCAAGACCAAAACGGATCACCAGTGCTCTGTAGAAGAACTTTTCTCAGACTCCTGCTGCATGCTTCTTTCCAGCTGCTGGCCATCCTGAATGGGACCCTTGCTTTGGCACCACCGCCTGAGCCGGAGCCCACTGAGGAGGAGTCCGATTGTGTTCTTCATGACTTGTTCTTTGTCAGTTCTGACAGGCGTGTTTTCAGAACCCAGTGATGTGAGCTAGCCTTATTAAGGGACCGTTGACAGTGGACATAGGGGTCTCTTTTGTGGTTTAGTATAGTCCTTAATATAATCCTTGCTAAGGAACACATGTCCATTGAATGATGTAGGAAATATTGACTGTAGCTCATGTGACGTTGAATCCGATGACCGCCGGGTTACCAGCCGAGTGTGGCAGCAATCGTCCACGAGTGATCAGATGGAAGTACTGCCGTAACCTGCTGCGATTCTTCTGGAAAAGCATCAACCACCCTACAAGAGCATGCATCCAGATTGAAGTCCATAATGTACAACATACCAGGGCATCCAGAGCACCTTGTAGGGTTGGTATGCTTAAATAAGCTACGGTTTGGCAGCATCCAAGGAGTCTGAGTTTCCTTAGAAGTGCCTGAGACGACGGATATGGAAGGAGGTTGACGCAAGCAAGGAAGACACCGACAGCACTCCGATGATTGGACTTTCGCTACAAGCTGAGTTGAAGTCAAATATCAAGTGCGATGTTGACATCTCGAATCTTAGCAGTGAAAATCATGCTCAATGCAGGCTTGGAGAAGGTCCGAATGCCAAGAGTGTCCTGGACACGACAGATTTCGATGCAGAGGCCCACGAGCATACATGACCAGCTTCTTGATTGGTGCTGTAATCTGCTGATGCTTGGCAAAGGAGAAGGCCGAGAAAGCAAAAAGAGTCAAAGCAGAGCCAGAGGCGGAGCCAGGGCTGCAAAGTTCAAGTCACGGAGCCATGCAGACTCTTGGATCTGGGATGATCGGCAGGAAGAGAAGGCAACCCCCAGACCGGTGAAAACTGAGGAGCAGGCGGAGCAGGCGGAGCAGGCTGGTGTGCTGACCGTCTCAAACGTGCCAGCACGAAGCAGCTTGTAAGCATGTTCTTGCAGACTGCATGCTACTGCATGCTACTGCTGCCTAACAGCACAGCACATGAGCAGCTTTGCCAGCTACAAGCTATGTAGTGAAATTTGCAGAGTCCCAGAAGATAAGGCAGCAATGTCACAAAAGAAATCAAACTGAATCATAAGACACTGCTGAAGGTTGCAGAGGGTTTGCAACGTGGGCCCTGAACCACTGCAAAAGTCTATGATCAACAATCTATGTCTCGACACGGGAATTGGCCTTGTGTGGCTCGCACCTCTGCAGTGTCTTTCTTGGATAAGTGGAGGGAAGCCAGGATCCTAGCGTCTCGCAAGTAGTATGACTGTACAAAGGATCGACTTTCATCGCATGGCTTTGCAGCCAGCAGTAGTATTGTGATGGGCGGTTGGGGTGATGTCAAGGCAGGCCATGAGCAGGAACGTTGTATGCAAACAACCTGTCAATCCCCTTCTCGTTCAACAACCTGCGTTTGACATTCCGCTCCAGCGCTTCGATGACATGAGTGCTTTGCCGGACTTGGCGTAACACGGGTTGGAATTCTTGGTGTGTGCTATGCGTTCTGCGACCCCCCACCAGTGGAGGGGTTGGTACTCGTTCATTTCTTGTGCATTCTCTCTACAATCTCTACGTGCACTCTATGATTCCGTCCTCCAACCTTATCTGATTCATTTTCTACTAGGGGATGCCTGAACACAGCCAAGGGAAAGATGATGATTGTAAATGCTATCACGCAAGCCTCGGCTGTTGGGGTGCCCAGAAAGTCCTGGCAGACGACATCCTGGAAGTGGGGGGTCCGGGGGGGTCGAAGGGGGGTCGAGGGGGTGGGGTGGTGGGGTCGGGGATGGTCGGGTTCTTGGGGCTGTGAAAAAACTAAAAATGCTCAGTAGGCGGGTTGGGTAGAGTGTTCCCCCCCAATGCCCCAGGTGCCTCGCGTATACTATGCGCATCGTGTAGCATCCCAGACTTGCCCTCAAAGATGCGGAAAGACCGCCAGTCTTACAACAGGTTTCAGGAACAGAAGCCCTTGATCTTCAATGCGGCCAGCGCAAGCAAAACTCCTAGCAAGGTCCCAACCTTGCTGAAGGAACGACAGGCGTCAGATACTCTCGATACTCACGGGCAGTGGTGGGAAATTTCAGCATCCGCAAGGTTTTTGCAGGGTCCAAGTAATTCCCACGAAGGTAGGAACTACCGCGACCACTAGATTTAGATATATGCGTCCAGAGCCGAAGCATTTGGCAGTGCAGTACAGTAGAGTCATGCAAGATTGGACACTAAAAGAGCAAAGCCACTTGAATGCAACTTCGAAACTGCTCTTCCTGCATTTGTTGGAAGGACCTCGGTCTTTTCTGGCAGTTGATTAGCATAGATGCAAGTGCTGGTCGCAGGATGGAGGGGGGGCCGCTGTCAGCGTGGCAGCTCAAGTGCCAACTGCGGCCCGCTTGCCAGCTGCTTTGAGATGAACGGATTGAATTCGCCTAGCTTAGGGTGCAAAGTATTTGTTATAGCCGAGTTCGAAAAACTGGCAAGAGCTTGACCAGGGTTTGATGTTTTTGATGCAGGTGAGCGAGGAGCCCCACGCCTTGACAGCCAAGGCGGCCGGTGGATCCATGTCCAACATCACCCTTCAGATTCCTTCAGTGTTCTTTGCACGTTTCGCCGATACCAAACTGTTTCGGACATGCCTGGCATCCTGGAGAGGAAACTCCCGCAGCCGCGCGAGTGAAGATGGAGGACTTCACACCTTGAGACATACTGCTGGTTCAAAGTAAGAGGAGCATGGCATTGAACAGGGCTCTACACTTTGGCACCAGCTGACCACTTGCTCCTGGCTCTGCACTCCCAGCGCCAGGTAACTGCCCTGTAGTTGTGCCAACTCAGCTCAAAGCTGGAGCATGAAAGGAATCAGTTAGCAGCTTGGCGCAGCTCGTGCCCTGACATGCACTGCCATCCAAGCTCGCCGGCACATGACATGCTGGGGACCTGACATGACCTGAGCAGGAGCCAGACACTCCCGTGCACACAGATGCCGCTTGACTTCGCAACGCTGGAAAAAGAACTCGCTTCACTCTTGGTGTCTTTTGGAGCTCACCAGAGCTTGCCTGAGCTTGCCAGCCTGAGAGCTCCTTGTCTTCCTCAATGCCGCACGTGTTGACAAGCGCTCGAAGTTATGTCTCGCTAGCCATGGGTGCACAGATGGGCCCAAACCAACTCATAGTGAAGGATATTGAAGTAGAGTGATGGGAACGGCTTTCATCCAAAGGCTGACCCATCCCTGCCACCGTGTAACCCTAGTACACCCCCACATACCCCCCACTCAGAGGCAGAGCATGTATGACAATATTCCATTCCAGAGCAGCACCTCAGTCGAAAATCTGCTGCCATGACCCTCTTGCACCAAAGAGTCGCGCATGACTTTCGAGGAAGATGGGCCCCTGCCTTCTGAAGCTTTCTGCGGTTGCTAAGCGTCAGCACGAGGAGCACGGGCGTCGCCTTCCTGCCTGTCTTGCATTGGTTGTGGCCTGCGTTCTCCTGACGATCACCTCGTGACCTGGCCAGTCTTGCCGCTGTGTGGAGTGGAGCATTCGTTTAGCTCGCATGCATGAGGCCCAGGCCCAGAGACTGGCTTCGCTGGTCTCCAGCGCACCTGGTCTGCATCCAGTATGTTTACTCGCCAAGGTCGCCTTGTCGGCACCAGGGTATGGGCTCACTGGCGTCATGCTGTATGTTGCGTGAGGAACAACGAGGATGTCAGCAAATGGCCGTTGCAAGATGTGCAGCCAGAGGCCAAAGATGGGAGCAGTTGCCAGCGCCTAATCGGAAAAGGCAAGCTGCATCACTGGGGAGGCAAGACAGTCCGGCCGCCCAGTCCGCAAGGAAGAAGGCGCGGCAGCCAACGAAAAGTCCGAGGCAGCTGCAAAACGTATAGGGATAGACTTCCGATTTCATGGTAACGGGTCCTGCGACTTGCTGCAGTCTTAGTAATGTTTTTATCCTCCTGGCTACTGGTACCTTGAAGTGATTAAGGTGCTTGCCAACATCTCACAATGGCTGTTTCATGAGTGCCGCACCTAGGTGAGAATGGATACTACACAGGTTGGGCTGCAGCCGAGTCTGGGGATCTGGATTCTCGGGCCAGAGCTATCACAAGAGTGCTACAGCGTAGATTGGGATCTGAACATGTCAGCCCGAAGGTGAGATGAGAAGACAGACAAGACCAGCCAAGATGACGTGCGATCAAAAGAATAGGCAGAAGCAAATTGCATGAGCCATGATCTGGTGGCAAGGCTACTGTAGTGGAGGGTCGGGGACGGCTCTGCGAGGCCAAGGCATGGGCCCATATCGGCTGGCAAGGCAGGGATGCAGAACTGCAAATGTCACCTTCCGAGCTGAAGAACGCAAAATTCTGGGCCAACTCAAACAGCTCGAAGTGATGACTAATGCAGAAAATACACCTGGCCAGATTTGTAGCAGCAGCCCATGAAAAGAGACGACGATACCGCTTTAGTCCAGAAGTATCCAGGAACAGGATGCAGGAGTCTCTGAATCATCAGAAACAGCAGAAGAGAGTCCACAAAGTTGAATGTTGCGGTAACGCTCAGGACAGCTGCATGCTGGCGTGCTCTTCAGATCCAGCCTGCACATTCATTGGCTTCAAGAAAGGCTGGTGTCCTGCGTTGCATGTGGTGCAAAAGGTGCATCCAGCTAGGCTTGACGCAGGCAAGGAAGTTCGCTATCAAAATTTGTGCTGTATAGGCTGACTTGGCGCGATGAAGATTACTGTACCCTATCAGCATCGCCTCATGATGCTTGCGGTTCAGTGTGTGTAAGGTAAGGCCTGGAAGCTGAAACTTGGCTTTGCAGGCATTACATGTTCTCGCTTTGATGCCACTGCCGGCGCCTGCCGGCAGCTGCCACTTGGATCCACGACTGGATATCAACTATCCTCAGAGTGCATCTTGTTTTCCTCTTCTCTGTCGCGTAGAAAGTCGTGAGCCTGTGTCACGCCCCCGCTGGACGCTTCCAGAAGACCAAGCGACAACTACCTCAGGGTGTGGCAGTTGTAGAAGCGGAAACAGCTGGCCGCTAGCAAACACCTGAAACAACATGGAACAGCATGAGAAACCCGCCGCGTCTGCTTGAAGAAGTTCGCGATGCGATGTGATTTATGCGAATCCGCCAGAGTTCCTCAACATTCACGACGTCTGAAAGCAAGTCATCCGGGCACAAGCGACAAAACCTGACAAGCCTGTCTTATCGGCGCTAACAAGAAGCAAGAATTTCACGATATGCTGTTGAGGTGTCAAATCCATGTTCCCGAGGGCAGACAGGCCCAGATAGGCAGTGAGTACAGCTTGCAGCAGGCTGCAATCAGCGATGCTAGGATGATGCGGTGGAACGTGTGGTGCGGGATTTGGTAGAAGGGAGGATGGCCACTGTGACAAGTTGGGAACGGGATTTGAAGCGGGGCACAAAAGATGCTGGTCACGCTTCCTGGTGAGCTGCAGCATTTTCGTCTCTCATCCTTAATGCGGAATTTGCCGGCTTCATGCTGAGGATTTCATCTGAGGCACGTGCACAGTAAACAATCTCTTGTTCAAAGTTTAATGTGGTAGCATTGACATTCGCAGGGACAACATGCTTTGCCGGGCTGAGGCGGTACGCAAACGCCTGAAGCTCAGTTCAAGACAGACGTTGGGTACCACAGATGGCGGAATGAGCATGCCGCCATGTTCCAGCCAGACTGGTTGGAGGCAGTATGCTGAGTGAGCTCCAATGCGTGAGAACTTTTCTACCCAGATAGCATACGTCCATGCAAACTTCTTATAAACAGGTATCAAAAGATGAGCCAAATTTGTGACACCTTGTTTGTCAATGCTGGTCGTCAAAGCTCACTCACGAGGAACAGAAAGTAGATTCAGTAGAGTTAGTCCAAATCGGTCTCACCTTAGGGAGATGCTGCACGCTGTGTCAACTCGGCAATGGTGGATTTCCAGTTTGGTTCTGTCAGAAACTGTCTACTAACGATGTGAGCAGCTGCGCAGGAAGTAAGATGAAGCCAGAACATGGACAATCCACGTTATACCTCCCAATATCCAAGACCCCCCCCATCTGAACTTCCGCACATACATAGCTTGACTTCTTCGGACAAAGATGAGACCAGTCAAATTTGCAAAAGTCGTGTAGCGTTTTAGATGACCCAAACAACATGTGAACAATACCACCAAGGCAACCATGGAGTTACAACTTTGTCATGCATGTGGGACTCAGGACGGCTATGCAACTTACCAGAAAATTGTGTTGCCAGCCTGCAGACAGTTACACTTTTTGGCGCTGTTTTTGCGGATTTAGTTGATGCATGCCTTTGCAGCCTTTGCCTCCTTTCCCAGTTGCGGTTTGGCTTCATGATTGATTTTGGAGCCAGCTGCCTCAGCATCACTGTACATTCTCTCCGAAGAGTGAGGTGGCTTAGTAGGGCGAAACAGACGGAATCTTTGCTCATGGACAACCAAAGACATATCAGATTACTTTTGTTGTGCTTCAAGGCTCCCTGTATGCTTTCACCCTACTGCACATGCTACCTGGCCTTTGTCTACCGCCACCAGCAAAAGCGTGTTTGTTGCATGCATGGCCGTTCGGACTTGAAACTGAAACCTGGCCTTCAAACAAAGCACTGCCACAGCCCGCCTAGTGGATGTATTGCAGCAGCACGGTGTGCAAGTCTTGCGCATATGCCTGCTTCTGACCTGACTTTAAGGACGTGTGACTGGTCCTATGCTTCTTGGCAGAGCTGGAGCATGAAGCTTCGTGCGAAACAAGTTCGATTTGAAAGTGCTGATGTGATAATACAGTGATGCTTGCATTGATGCACTATTATGCGGCGGACTCTTGCGTGCTGCGTGCTGAGGCTGTGGTGCAAACAGGCTGGAGGTGCTCGCAGAGTTATGAGGACTTCTGGGTTTGGGGAGTCTTGCAGTCTCCGGCATTGCAGGCCACCGACGGAAGCTTTGTAAAATCGATCCCTCAACAGGACTGGAGAGGTGGCTCCAAAGAAGCCACGCAGCTCCAGATGTGCCCGTGAGACAGACGAGGCTGCTCTTGATATGATCACAAAGCTGAGGCTATGCTTCGCTTCTGTGCTTCCACATCGTTTTGCACCGCGGAGGATATTTGGCCCTCAGCAAGATGTGGCTTGAAGGTGTTGGGATCTGAGGCAAAGGCCTCCATTGGTTCAACGAGGGCGGAGATATTCGAAACGTCTCCAAAGGGTGGTTTCAGGCAGCGATGGCAGCGCAGATGTCCAACCTGGCAAGCCCAGTGAGCCTGAGAGCACTGAGGCTTGCACGGGCCTCGTCTCTGCAGGGCGCTTCAAGCCGTGGAGCATTCTGATCAAACCCCAAAGCTGTTCTGAGCCGGCTGACCTGCGGCCGCTGCAGCTTAACTGAAATATGTATTAAGCTAAGACACAACACTTGTCAGACACTTTCTTGGTGAGCCTTTGACCTCCCCGGCAGTAGCTGTGGAGGGGGTGCCCAACAAAGTTTATTTTATTGAGTCTCTGGCATGTTCCTCACCCTGCCCTCCTTCCACAGAGCTTGAAGCAGCCAAGGACCAAAGTGTCAGTGCCAAGCATCTGCGCACCGCAGGCTGGGGTGATGGACGTAAGTCAGGGCCTCTAGAAAAAGAGTTGTCAATCAGTAGCCGCGCTCCGAAATGTCTCATGCGCATTTGTGCTGCCAATTCCAAGATCTCAACTTACCAGCGGATCAGAAATTTCTCGACATGTCTCGAGAAGACATGGGCGCATTGAGCGCGTATGCTTCCAGGCAGTTGGCTATCGCTCAACAACTTGGGTGAACAGTGTTTGATGAAGCGCTCTGTAGAAGCAAATTCAGAATCATTCAGGGAGGCGCTTCCAGGTTTCCTGGAAGGCGCGAATGTAAACCTTGACCCAGACAGTCAGTGCATCATGCATGACCCGCTGCTAAAGCAAAATGATCAAACTGGCAGGCCAACTTTGGTGCTGACAAGCAAAGCACAGAATCTTTCACAGCATTGTTGGGTGGCCCGTCGCAGACGCGCTTCGCAATTGCTGAGTGAGATCTGTTTGTTGAAGGTGCTCTGGCTTGTGCTGCCAAGGATTCAGCACCAGCAAGCAGCGCCACTTGGACAGAATTTGGGAACCTCTTATGAATTCTCATGGCAATTACCGTTGATGAAGCCAGAATGCAAGGCAATTCAGATTGATTGCTGCATTTTGCCAGCTCTGGTTTTGAAGAAACTTGGTCGTCCCCGCTTTGACCCTAGTGCTTCTGCGGTGTTTCCTTCCAGGTCGACTTCGTCATCTCCGCCTTCAATGAGATGCATGGTTCAAATCTGATTCAAGTTGTCATCAGTTCACCGTGATTGAACTGCCAGTGGTACGCGGACGGGTTACAGAGTGGATATCGTTAAATCCAATGGGAGTTGCGGCGTCGAGTGATCGTCCCAATGCAGCTTCTAGTATTTCTAGTTTTGAAGCCTGCCGCAAACATCGCCAACCTTGGCAAGAGGAGAAACTGAGCGCCTGAGATGCCAGAAGCCCCCAAAAAGCGCATTTTGAGGGCTCTGTCGCGTCAGGAGTGGGTGGGACGTGTGTAAATTATCGACCGTGGGCCAAGGCAAGCTGTTCCAACTATGATTTTTGTACGCCCATCTCCGTTCCTACCGTAGAAGGACATTGTGCCTTCAGGACTGTCTAGGTGCCCAACAGACCTCCAACAGGATTAGGAGGAAAAATTGCTTTCTCCCTAGGGACCTGAGCTTCGTGGAGCCGATGATGGCGATCGCTGGGCCTGGTGTTACCTTGAAGCTGCGCAGCTTTAGACAGAGACAAGTCGACACTCTTACAGGCGGATGCCCAGCAGCTGAGGCTTTACTGCTCCGGCGAGCAAAGTCTCGATTCTCGATGCTTAGCGCATCGGCTGCCGTGGATTCTTAGCACACGCGCCACCGCCGCCGCCACTGCCACGGCCACCGCCGCCAAAGCCGCCGCCACCTCCGCCCCCTTCATGCGTAGTCATAATGTGCGTCCTTGGGCCAATGCAAAGTGGTCCCTTGCCGTGTTAGTTGTCATTACAGCTCTGGTGTACGTGTATGGGTTCCCGTGCAGTGAAGCCAGCACTGGCTTCGTCCACCCAGAAACTTTGAAAGAACAGATGAGCCATCTCAGGCAGTGCCGAATCTTGGAGGGGAAAACGCTGTCTACTTGCATCACATTGCCTCTTGTTTGCTTAGCTTTGTGTTGGCTTCCAGCGCCAAGCTGTGGTATGGTAGGATGCTTGGTAAGCATCATGGTAAGCCATCTTCGGGCAGGATACTTGCAGCTTATCAGGTCCAGAATTACGATTCCCTGGCCGATATCACCGTATTTAGCGTCGGCAGCATCATGAGAAATGAGAACAATCAGCTCCTGTGCAGGACAGCTGCAGCTGGCAAATCTGTCCAATGCCCACTATCCGCATATTCCCCATGTGCCACCCACCTTCACTTACCACGTCTGCAGCGCGTGCATCGTATTGTATCGTGGTCTTATGGATTGGTATACGAGTCAAGTCATTAGTTTGAAAGCATGTTTAAAACCTGATAGAATCCACGAACCCAAATGCAGAGACGTGACACGTACATCGCAAAGATAACAACGCCCCCCACGCGCGACACCAATCAGGAAACTTAAGTCCGGGGTCATCCTCTCTCCTCTCTCTTCTATCCTCTCTCTCTTCTCTCCTCTCCTCTCTCTCCTCTCCTCTCTCTCTTCTCTCCTCTCCTCTCTCTTCTCTCCTCTCTCTTCTCTCCTCTCCTCTCCCTTTTCTCCTCTCTCT